ATCCATGCGGCCTTTGATGAGTTGGAACGTTTGCGTTTCCGCTAAAATTTTGTTGCAGGGCCTCTGCAATCGGTCAGCAATGCTGGAACTCCTAGTCGATGCTGGCCTTTTATGTGAAGTGATGAAGATCAGAAAGGCTGCAAGCTGTTACCGCTTGATGGGTGCGTGGGTTGCACACCAAAAGTGTCTGAGTACGTGCCAGTCTGTGCTGGTTTTTTTTGACAATGAGACTCAATGCGGTGTCAGCCCATTTGACATTGCACCATGCCGTGACTCCGTTGCATGCAGGCACAAGCAATATTGTGCCTACTCAAGCAATAAGCATTAATGCTAATGCAGATATCCGAGTCTGGTGCTCGGGCATGTGGCAGTCCAGCCTACATGATTGGCGAGAATGAGATTGATTTGTATCTGCCTAATGATCATGAAGGGCACCTGTGTTCCAGACATTTGCCAGCTGTAAGGTTCAGGCGCGATGTGGCACACCCGTGGCCCTGCTTCTAGCATGTCACATCTGCCTTGGAAAGTATGCTGGTGCACACGTGTTCCATTGAGTGGTCGTCCCCTTTTTCTTGCAATCGATCAATTGGTTTCCAATGGAAACTTTCCATGGGTTCTCCAAAGCATGATCGTGAACGCGGTCATCGATCCCATGCTCTGCACTACTAGTGCACTCGTCAGTCCAGTGTGTAAAGCAAAAACATTTCCAATGTAGTGGATGGTTGAGCATGCGCATGCGCCGCATGCATGCAATTTAGAATTCCTGCTGTGATGCATACCATATGGTATATACACCACACTCTGCAGTGCACAGTCTGCACCTCACATGCATGGCAGTTGCAATGCATGCGAGGCCATATATGGCCACTCTCTGAACGTTAACACATGTTTTCCCAGACCTGTCATGAGCTTATAATTATAAGGTAATTCAGAGTTTGTGCAGATCCACCAGGTTGCAGTTGTTGTCGAGTAAAAGGGCTCAAGCTTGAGCGTGAGCTCCTTTGATCATGAGCGGTGGGTTGCAATTGCTTCAATTTCTTTGGGCAACATCATGATACACACACATGCACATACTAATATTGTTAGGCTACTGTGCAAGGATGACGAAGTGACTGGACGGGACTGAACAGCACAACGTCCACGATGTATAGGGAGCTACGCTAGCTAAATGTGTCGATGAACTCAGCTTCCACACGAGCTTCATCATCACACAAAGCCACATGAGCGGGGGGATTTACCAAAGGCCTTAGTCATCGTTATAGATGGCCAATTCAGGCTCATCATTTGACTTTGACAACTGGCTGTCTGGTGCTGGAAAAGCGAGGTTGAATTGGTCCTACCCAATCTCTGTAGGTCCTGCAAACATAAAGAAGAGCAATGGGCAATTGCCAGGGCCGGCATTGCCAGGGGTGAAAGTCCTTGCCCTACAGGATAGACAGGCATCTGCAGCAGAGTTGCCATCCTTCAATCAATAGAGGCAGGCTGACACATCGACATTTCTTCCGATAGAACGGTCGAAGACATTCATTTGGAGAAGATTAGACAAATTGGAAGCGAGAGCAACGACAGGCCGGGCCTTCAAGGCGTTTCCCAGGTCATCTTGCGTCTCTCAGTTCAAACTTGGAACTTCCCCAGGCCTTTCCCGAAGCAGCGCAGCCGGGCACATTTTGCTACAGTCGGCGTTTGCTGTAAGTCACACGTGGGACTGCTGCATTTCAGCAGCCAGTGTCCGTGACAGACGGGGTCTACTCTAGGCGCGCAGGGTACCGGCTGCATAAGTTGTGACGTCCGCGCCTCTCGGGGCCCGAGCGTGCAAGAAGGGAACTGCCAGAAAAGTGATCGGCTTCTCAAATAAGTTTTGCAGAACCTGATCTGGGACGCGGCCTGCATGCAGGCACAATCTAGGACTCTGCGCCTGAGGTATAAGGGTACAGCCCTCTGACAGGCTTGTGCCTGGGCAGGTGAGCTTCCGCCTGTCCACATTGATACCTGTTCAACGGATGTCATCTGTTTCCCATTCCTTTGACTTTCATGGCCGAGGCCCCTGCTGTCATTCGAGACTTACCAAATCTTGAAATATGCATCCCAGCATTCTGTGCTTTGCACTGCACTGCTGTTCCCCCGGGCTACTGGCGCTGTGAGCTCAGTTCTTTCGACTTTGACCGGTTCAATATCAAGAAAGACACCAATGCCTTAACGGTTCTTGCTGTGTGCAGCTGGCACCATGGCAGGTGAATATGGCAACTTTATCACATCGGCCGTGCCGGCCTCTGTGGACATCATGGGCTTCTCATGCAGGTGAGCTGGGTGTTATCGCCATTAATTGCTTGCCTCCATCATTCCTGATTCATAGCAGCCTTATGCAGCTTCCCAGATGAAGTTGTTCGCTGCTGTTCCTTCCATGTCCTGGTCCAGATGGGTGCAGTGGGGCTGCTAACTGAACATTGAAGCAATGAAGACAGAGAGCAGTGCTGATGCGTGGGCAAATCTTACAATTAGCACCATATTAGAGTGTTTGTCATGCTTTGCAGAGGCGCCTGGCGGGCCAGTGTGAGCCAGCAAAGCTGACATTCTGCTGAAGCAGGGATATCTGTACATGAAGGTTCCCTTCTGTATGTGCAGGTTCCCAGAGTCTGAGAGCCCCACCCAGTTCTGGGAGAACCTGGTGGCAGGCACGGACATGGTAACAGAGAACGATCGGAGGTGGCCTATTGGTCTGCATGGCACCCCAGGCCGCTTCGGCAAGCTGATCGAGTACCACCTCTTCGATGCACCCTTCTTCTCCGTCCACGGCAAGCAGGCATCGGTGCGGTCTTCTCCTGTGCTGCACCCTTGCCCTGCCATGCTGCCCCAAGTCTTGCACACCTTCGAGTATTGCATCTGTTACATCATAAGGCAGCTCTTCTGCTCAGCCCTGGCGCTCATGTTCCTACAGTCTTTTTGGTTGTGTGTGATTTTTCAAATGTCCAGTGCATGCACAAGCTCAGCTTCTTGGAGCCTGTATCATGGGGTGCCCCTGCAAGTACTCTAAAAGGTGCTCTGGGAATTTTCAGAGCACAGCACATAGGCCTCAATGAGCTTTGCCGAACACTGAGAGACAGCCATGCTGCAAAAGGGCCAATTTGTGCAATTAAACTCTAAAGCGGTCCTCGCTCTGATAGCTGTCTGGCCCTCCGGTTGTTTGCAGAAAATGGATCCGCAAATGCGAAAGCTGCTGGAGGTGACACATGAGGCCTTCGTGGACTCGGGCATCGACTACAAAGCACTTCGCGGCAGCCCCCGAGTCGGAGTATACCTTGGGTGCTGCGGTTCAGAGGTGCATGCCATGTGGCTCAGTGACTACAATAACATCACTGGTTATGAGCAGACCGGGTGCACGCTCTCCATGTTTGCCAACCGCCTCTCCTTCTTCTTCGACTTCAAGGGCCCCTCCAAGGCTGTTGACACAGGTTTGCAGCCTCCTAATGCCGACTGTTTGCACTTGCGGTGCCCACTGAGTTGCATGGAGGACACACTCTTTGGCAATGTCAGGGACAATCTCCCATAAGGCTATACCTTCAGTGTGCGTTCTCCTTTTTGTGTGCCAGAGTGCTTTTATGGGCATAAATCTGTCCTGAAATCCGACTGCACAAGCACTATCACGTACGCTGCTGCAACACAGTGTCTTGCAGATGGTGGTGTTTGGTGTGTTGTGTAAGACACTGAGTCTGCCAAACAGATTGAGATTCTGCACCACACCCTCGTGGGTGGGAGATCGAGTGAGAAGTGGCTGGTGACTGACAAAGTGTTGCGGACGTGTGCCACAGCCTGTTCGTCGGCGTTCCTAGCGCTCCACGATGCAGTGCTGGACTTGCAGCGCGGCCGCGTGGACTATGCAGTTGTTGGCGGCTCTTCAGCAATCTTCCGCCCGGCCACATCCCTGGCCTTCCTCAGGCTGAAGTGCGCTCCTTTTTCATCCTTTCTACCTGCTGCAGGGCTTATGCCACAGCTGTCAAGACCAGTGTTTGAGGCTGGGGAACAGTCACCCCCATTCAAATGAGCAAACTTGTTGTGCTCCTGCTGACTTACAACACCTGCTTGGTTCAAGAGGAACAAGCTTTCCTTGGCCACCCCTACCATGGTGCTGTACAGAGCGCAGCAACTCATTGTGCTGGAACAGGAGCGGGGCTCTAGCATGCCACTGCATGCGTCCTGATCCAAGGTGCATATGCTGAAGGGCTTGGGGCTGGCCGAGCGGTGGCTCGCATGGGAATTGTGTGCTGGAGCCTGACAGAAGGGGCGTGTGATGCAGGATGCTCTCCCCTGACGGCGCATGCAAATCCTTTGATGCAAGCGGCAATGGGTATGCCCGCGCAGAGGGCGTGGCCTCCATCATTCTGCGCCGCTCTGATGTCTTCGACACTCCCGTGGTCATCCCACGTGAGCCATACGCGCGCGTGCTGGGCATTGGCACCAACAACGATGGCCACACTGAGCAGGGCATCACTTTCCCTTCAGGGCCTGCCCAACGGGAGCTGGGCACAGCGGTGAGCTGCCCATTCCTCAACTTGACCGCATGACAAGACTTGGCAAGGAACTTGGTAGGCAAAATTCCTTGAACATGAGCAGAATATGGCCAACGGTGTCTAGTAGCAATTTCCTTGAGCGAGCCAGAGGCTTGTCATCCTGCTCTCTTTCAGACCTGGACAGGGGAACTTCGCCCTAGCTCGTAGTTCCTGGTAAATTCCGCAATGGATATTCCTTGTGAAAGGGGTAAATAGTCGGGGTTCGGCAGTTCGAGGCCTCGTGCGAGGAACCTCATGTTGGTGTACAGCAGTCCCGAGAAGTCTTGGAGAACAGTACGTCAGCTCCACTGAGGCTGATGAAGACGTTTTCATCTCCAGCAAAGCCGGGCTCTTCCGTTTGGCAGCCTGCGGGAAGAGGGTGCTGCTGTGCAATACCGTCTCTTAATCTTCGGAAATGCTCCGTGGACATCATCGGATACCTAGCGAATCAGAGCCGCCGCCTTGGCTCAGTTGGTTAGAGCGTCGGTCTCATAATCCGGAGGTCGCCAGTTCGATCCTGGCAGGCGGCAACACGCTACGGCGGCTCATTTTTGCCCTTTTCTCTCTTTTTTCTCTCTTTTTTTCTAATTCTGGACTCTAGAATGTCTCATTTTGATTGATTCTCATGGTGCACATCTGATTACATTCTTTATCATGGGCACGTACAGGTCTGCAGAGCAACTGGAGTGGACCCATCAGACATTCAGTATGTGGAAGCACATGGGACTGGAACAGTCGTGGGTGACAGTCAGGAGCTCAGCGCAATTGATGGCCTCTATGGAGCAGGCGCAGGGCACACAGCCGAAGAGCCGCTGCTTATTGGCTCTGTCAAGTCCAATATGGGGCACTGTGAGGGGTGCTCCGGGCTGGCCGGTGCGTCCCCGCTGAGTCAGCGATGCTCAGGTCCACTATGATTGACATGGCAGGCGCAGAATGCACAAATGCATGTACCAAAGTAGGCGGAGCAATTTGCATGCATGTAGAGGCCATGGGTGCCGTGTCCTGGCCGAGGCGGCCTTCCAGGTTAGGATCACATCATGTTGTGCTTGAATGTGGATTGGGGTCATTGGGTTGTCAGCTCTGACATGCTTTGTTGGCTAATGCTATGCGCAGGACTCATCAAGGTGTGCCTGTCGTATGAGAATGGCCTCATCCCAGGCAACCTGCACTACAAAGAGCCCAACCCCAACAACGAGTCCCTCAAGAACGGCATCCTGAAGGTCAGCAAATGAACCCTCTTTCAAGCCCCCACACTGTCCCACTCTGTTCTTGCTCTGATGCATATGGATGCTATGTTCTCTGCAGCCCTTTGCTTTTAAGACGCCCATAACCTGTCTTGCTCCATTGCCATGCACTCTGCAATCTCTGGCTCGGTGCTCAACCGCTGCAGGACGCAGGACACTGGGCTCCAAATATGCATGACTGCCCACAACACCTGACCCTGTGTTTCACATGCATGCTTTTGAGTAGCCGTCCCAGGTCTCGTTGTTCTCATAGCTGTGCAAATAGTCCCCACAGCAGTCCTGCTCAGGCAGTCTATAATGATCACTCCATCATATACTCAGTCTAAATCCGCACGCAGGTGGTGACCGGGCCGACCCCCTGGCAGGGAGGGCTGGTGGCCATCTCCTCTTTTGGCTTCGGCGGCTCCAACGTGCATGCCATCATCGCCGGCTGCGTGCGGCCCAGGGGCCCCCCGCCGCGCGCCCTCCCGGTCCCCCAGCCGGCCGAGGCGGCCGAGACTGTCGACGGCGGCGCCACCGTCATCGAGGAGGTCCAGGAAGAGGAGCCGCTGTTCCCTCTTGATGTGCGCCTTCACCCCCACAAAGGCAGCTGCCTGGAAGCTATCCCACTCTCAACTGCTGTCCTTGTCACCCCCGCTGCTTTGTCAGGTCACAAGCTCAGGAGCGTCTGTTCCTCCCCCACTGTCTGAACTAAAAGGTTTACCTCTTGTCATGTGTTGGATTCACCTGAGCGCAAAGGGATTCACATGCATGGTGAAGTCTTCTCTTCACGCCACCTGTGGTGAGATACTAAATTAATCTGGCATTTGTACTTCAGAACACAGTTGTACGTAGAACAGCAATAGAGAAGCACCCCTTCACAAAGATAGGTGATTGCTATTTTTCCATAGTTATCATTTGTATGTAATCCAAGGAGATATCACAAAGTGACAGCCACTTGTGTGCTGCAGATGATCATCCCCATTTGCGCGCGCACCCAAGAGGGCTCGCAGGCGCTGCTGGAAGCCATCAAGGCGCGTGCCTTCATGGCAGAGGAGATTGCCGTGCCTCTTAAGAGGTGCGAGATACTCCACACATGGCATCTGGTACCTGCCATGTACAGTGGTCTGCATGGCATGCAACAACCGCTGGTCTGCTTTTTGGGCATGCCATGATGGATCACGGACGGCACCATTGCATGCATGATGGAAGGGGCAACCGGAGAAAATAACACATGCATGAAATGAATTGAGACCTGTCACTGCCCGGCAAATTGACATCATATCAATGGCATGCATGTGCAGGCTGGCAAACCACTGGTCAGAGGATGTGGCCAAGCTGGGCTTCAGGGGAACCATCTGCAATGGGGAGGCCAAGTGGGAGCACGCCAAAGTAGGCCATGCGCCGCCCATCTGGTTTGTCTTCTCAGGTGCGGGCCTGTGACAGTTCTCTTCCGCTTGCAGATCAGCACTGTACTGTTGTGACCATAATCACAGTCCAGTATCACTGCCTCAATTTATGCTCTGGCATTGGCCACAACCTTTTCTCGTCCCTTGCTGATGCACAGAGACGGATTGAGGCATTACTGCTGGAAAGAGGAAGCTTGATAACAGAGGGCTGCCAGGAGTGAGTCAACTATCATCATAGTCATGCATAATGGAATCATCGGGAGGACAGCTATCTTCACGGGAAAAGCCCCAGCCTAACCGGTATGCAAGAGCGGTTGCATGCCAAATAAACCTCAAGCAAGCGTTCCTGTGCACCTGATCAGGCAACGGCAGCCAGTGGCCGAAGATGGCGGAGCCGCTGCTGCGGTCGAGCCCGGTGTTTCTGGACGCGGTGCGCAAGTGCGCCGATGCGCTCAGGACCCACAATGTTGACCTGATGGCCGAGTTCGCCAAGGAGGACGGCTGGAAGAGCCCCGCCCTTGCCATGGTCGGCCTTGTTGCTGTCCAGGTGCGCTGCTCACCCCATAATACATGGTTATTCAACCCACATCCCAACCAAATGAGCCTAGCCCACTCGCATTGTGACCTCTGGTCTGCTGAAAAGCAAGGGAAGAGCAGAGTTGGCAGTTCAGTGTGAAGGGATTAATGCTCAGAATACATGTCAAGAGGTGGCTCAGCATGCATGCATGCAGTTGGAGCCTCGCAAATATGAGCAATTGGCCAAGTTTAAGTCAATATAAATGAGCTGGACTGGGATCTTCTAGGAAGGCAATGCACGGGTGTCCGGACATGTATTTGTTGGCTCCCTTGGTTCCTGGACAGATTGGTGGGCGCGTTGTGCACGCATTGGCCTAGTGGACATGTTGGGTCTGCAGATATGGCATTTAATGGCGTTCTTCGCCTGCTGTGTGGTGCACACTGGCCGCTGAAAGTGACATGTTGATGTGACTGATTGTTGGCGCATGCGCAGATCGGGCTGGTGGACATGCTGCGCAAGGAGTATGGCATCGTGCCAGCTGGCATGCTGGGCCACTCCGCGGGAGAGATCCCCTGTGGATATGCTGATGGGTGCCTCACTCGCGAGCAGACCATCCTCATCGCTTACCACAGAGGTGGGCGGTTTCCCCGAAGCATTCACACTTCCTTCTCTCCCTTTTGGCTGTGCCATAATCAGCATTGAGAAGTGCCCATAGAGGAACAGGGGCCGATCGGAGTACCATGCATGCATGGGTCCTGGGTGCCTTCTTCCAGTACATGTTGATGAGAACTTGATTAAGACTTATATTGTGCAGAGTGGCAGCGCTTGCTGCTCTCTCTCGGTGCCCCCAAAGACGGCTAGTCGAGTGCAGGATGTAGGGCAGACCCAACTTGCAGGCAGTCATGAGATCCCTCTGTTGCATTCCAGTCTCTTGTGTTTCAGCTAGCCAGGGAGTGTGGAGCCAGGGTCAAGAGAGTTGTGTTACAAAGAGCTGAGCCTATTCACATGTGCTACATGCGCTGGTGGGACTGCATTATGGTGACCTTGCACAACCAGGGCCATGAAAGCGTCCCCATTCCTGCTGTACATCTCACAATGTCTAGAATGAGAATCCCTGGCAAGCGCATGATACACACTTGCCTGTTATGGCTGTGCAGACTTTAACCCTAATTGACCCTTGACCCTAAACCCTAAATAAATTGTACAAGAAACCCAACCCTGAATGACTGTGCAGGCCGCATGGCGCCGGACAACAATGTGACGGGCGGGCTGATGGCGGCTGTCGGCCTCAGCGCGGACGCGGCCGACGCTCGGCTGCGCAAGGAAGGCCTCGCCAACACTGTTGTCGGCTGCGACAACTCCCCCGTCAATGTTACTCTGGCCGGTGCGCATTTCCCCTGGTATTGTGGAACCCTTCATGAGCCCACAGTGCTCAACCAGTGAGCTATTTTGTTGCCAACCTGTGGGTTGTTTTGGTGGCGTCACGGTTTCGTCTGATCATTGCTATGTTTAGAGTCTAATGATTACAGCCGGGGGGGGGGGACCTGAGAAACCTGCTGATGTGGCAATGCACAGGCCCGGCAGAGGAGCTGGCGCCGCTGTGCGCAAAGCTGAAGGACGAGGGCGTGTTTGTGCGCGAGTTGGACACGCTGGGGATCCCCTACCACTCCCCGGCGCTGGAGCCCTTCAGCGACAAGCTCCGCCGCGTGCTCACCGCTGTTGTGGGCGCTCCCAAAGAGCGCAGCGCCAAGTGGCTGTCGACCTGCTACCCTCTGAATTCCGAGGAGCCCGGCTCAAAGCTCTGCGGCCCTGACTACCACGTAAATCGCCCCCCCAACCACCTATCCTCCTCCCGCATTGTTGCTTACAGTTTGTGATATTGGCTGTTTAAGAGTGACATCTCTTGACTGCCGGGGCCCTGCCAGCTTGTGTGGGGAAGGATTGCTCTCTGACCATTTTTAAATTGTTCACACGCACAACATTTTTAGGAGCTGCGGTTACCAATGCCGAAAGTGGGCAGGGTTGCAGCAGAACAATACTAGCTCTTGAGTGCAGAAGAAAAGTTGCAGTCTGCATGCGAGCGATGACCAAGGGACTGGCAAAACTTGCGCCGTCCCACATGCAGAGCCTGATCTGGCTGTGTTGCCTGCATGCGCAGGTGCAAAGCTACAAGTCGCGCGTGCTGTTCAAGGCGGCGTGCGCGGCCATCCCGGAGGACGCCGTTCTGCTGGAGATCGGCCCCCACGGCATCATGCGCGCGCCGCTCCGCCAGAACTGCGCGGCGCTGCCGTATGTGGGCTGCATGAAGAAGGGCGACGACGCGACTTTGTCCGTGCGCGAGGCGGTTGCCGGCCTGTGGCGCAAGGGCGCGGCGCTCAAGT